ACACTCTCCAAAACCTGTCCAACTACTGATGTAAGACTAACTAGCCTATAATTGCCTGAACAATGTTTATCACCTCCTTTAAGCATTGGACTAACATTAGCCAATTTCCAATCTTCTAATACTCTTCAACTACTCAATGACTTGTAAAAAATATAAGCTAGTGGTTCACAAATAAAATCTAAGCTCCTTTAGAACTCTAGGATAAAAGTTGTCTGGTCCAAGGGATTTATCAATTTTTTAGGTTTCCCACTTTTCTCCCCCAACTTTTCTTTTACAATTTCAGAACTTAAAATGATATATTTTACATCAATATTTTCCCCATACACTAAGTGCTCTGGTTGAGGCAGGCATAATATTTGTATCTTCCTTTGTAAAAACTGATAAGAATATATTATAATTTTACCATCTCATAATCTTCTGAGATCAACTCCCCACTATCATTTTTAAGAAGCCCAATCCCCATCCTAACATTTTGCTTATCCATTATATACCTAAATAATTCCTTATTGTTTAACTCTCTCAGCCAACCCTCTTTCATATACAGTTTTTGCCCTTTTAACTTCCTTTTTAACCAGCTCTCTTGACTTCCTATAGTCCTCCAAGTCCTTATTATTCCCAGTAAGTTTAAATTTCTTGAATTTATTATGTTTATCCCTAATATGATTTCTTAAGCCTTTACTAAACCATACTGGCTTATTCCACTCCGTTGTTCTTTTATTTCTCTGTAAGGAATAAGTATGTTCTGTATGCTATTTTTCTCTAAATGCTTCCCACATCTGTTCCAATATCTCCTCCCAACTTTTTAGTCCAATCTACAGAAGCCAGATTATGTCTCATTCCATCAAAATTGACTTTCCTGAAATTGGGAATCAGGGTACTATTCTTCTTCAATTCTACATGAAATAAAATCCCAAACCTAATAGTACAATGGTCGCTTGTACTTAAATGTTCACCAACCACGACTCTGTCTATCATATTCACATCGGATGCTAATATTAAATCTAATACAGCTTCCTTTCTTAAGGTTCCATTACCAGTTGGTGTATAAAGGTATCCTGAACAATTTCCAAAAACATATCCCCCTCACTGTCAAGACTCAAAATTTTCCCAATAAATACCCCTGAAATTAAAATCTCCCATAATAACTATCTTTTTTAGTTACCATTCTGATCTCATTATACAGTTTCTCATTAACTTCCACATTCTGACCTGGTGGTCTATAACAAATCACAATTACAAGACTTTTCCCTTTATATCCACTAACACTAACCCAAACTGATTCAACCTCAGTGCTATTTTCTTAAATATGCTCTAACTCAACAGGATGCAATTCACTCCTCACATATAAAGCTACTCCCCCCCCCCCTCAATACTCTATTTCCGGTAAATAATATGTAGCCTGGTATTTCAAAAACCTTCTATCATTAAAATTGTTCAAATCCAACTGAGTCTCAGTGATACCCATAATATCAAAATCCCCAGTTTCCATAACTGCTTTGAACTCAATTTTATTTCTAATATTCCTTGTATACAATAGTAACAATTAATCATAGATTTTAAAATATGTTCATGTTTTGTGCCTGTTGTACATGTTTTCCTGTCAATTATATTTCCTATTTTACTAATATCATAGCCCCTCACCCCTGTCTACCCCTAGTTGAAATCTACCCCTACATCTGAAATGATAGCCCTCACTGACATCCTAGCCCCTGCCTTGTTTAAGTGTAAGCCATCCATTCCCAAAAGATTATCTTTCCCATTAAAGTTATCCCACAAATCCAACCAGCCTATCTACTCGTCCTTCCATATTGATCTAAGCCTGTCATTCAATCCTATTGACCTACTTAGTATCTCATCCCCACAATCTATTCTTGGCTACATCCCTGACAAAATCAAGCTATGACCCCTTTCCTTAAATGCCCTTATCAATGTTTTATACTTGTCAATAAGTTCCTCAGATCCATCTTTCCTTACATCATTAGCCTCAACATGTACCACAAAAACTACATTGCTACTAGCACCATTAACTATCTCTCTGGTTCTGTCAGTTATATCCTGTACCCGTTCTCCTGGATAACACAAGCATATTTTTTGCTCCTATTTACTCCATATACTACTCTATCTACATGCCTAACTAGAGAGTCACCTACAACTATAATTTCCTATCCTTTACACTATCATCCCTTGTAATCCCATCTGTTTCACTTACCTGTTCTCCCTCATCACTAACAAGTGCTTGGAACCAGTTGCTTAACCTAAACCCAAGCCCGTTCTTGCCCTTAAACACATTATTTTCCAAGTTTTTAGCCCTATTTCTTTTCTTAGCTCCTTTACTTTTGGCATGCAGCAGTTTAAGTTCTTCACTAAGCCCCGCCACCACTTTAAGCAATATATTTAAAAATAAAGGTAATCTCATTATAATAATTGTTTTTTTATATTATAAAAAGAAACATCCAAATCTTTTCCTTGCACATCAAGACAAGCCTATCCAAACAATTGATTCTGCAACCCTTGTTCATGCTGGCAGTCAGACTGAATCATGTCAGCTCTAGAATAGTTCAGTACAGACAGAAGAGCAGACAATAGCCTTTGGTAAAGCGACAGTGATTTTTTGATGGCTTGGAAATTGCATCATAGACCTAATTCATGTCTGGAATAAACTGTACCACCTACTTTCTAATAATCAGCAAATCTATCCAGGTGTTCCCAGACCCAAGAACAAAAAAGGAAAAAAAAATGGAAGGATTATTTAGCTTTTTTATTTTATGACGTGAAATCTGTAAAAGGAAATTTACAGTTACTACTCACACAATAAAACCTAGAAACTCAAAAGAGATTATTAAAACTGCAAGATGAGGTTTTTTTCAGCATTGGTTGTGGACACCCACAAATAGACTAGGCATTTTCTGTGATGAAAATTCTTATTTGAGCCAGAAAACATTTCTAAAGAATGAAACAAAAACAGGAGGTAGCTGGAGCCATACTCTATTAACAAATGCTTGCAGCAGGTAAAAAAAATAATTAGCAATAAGGAATAAATAATTTAACACTGATGGTACACCTTTCATTACAGTGATTGTTGATGGTGTGTGAAGCCTGAGAAGTTATGGACACCAATACAGTGCATAACCTAGTGTGGCTGTTATTGTTGAAAAAAAACGGACTAAATAATGCTTATTTATCAGCATTAGAAACAAATACTGCTGTATCTGTGCAGTTAATAATAAAAAGAATCACTTGTGCTATATAAAATTTGGATGAGTCATTAACAGCAATGGAAGCAGGTATAACAGTAGATGGATTGAGACAAAGTGAAGAAATGCATAGAGTTCAAATTCTGGAGATGATGATTCTAGTGTGCATAGAAGAATTATTAAAGGTCTCAGATATGGTCCTTATCAGGTACTTTGCTCACACAATAAGTGCAAAGACCAATACTGTAAGAAAGATAGCAGGTATTTGGACGTTATAATTTTCCTATACTGAAAATGTATTTCTGATAGGTACTTACCTCTTCGCACAGATATAGCTATTTTTATTCACAGTGCTGCTCTCTATACACAAACATTTGTTTACATACCACAAGCCTTGAGCTCCCATATACCCTATGATCAACTTGGTTCAACTGCATCTCACAGTAACTCATCATACAACACAACCTCCTGACGCATGTGACTCCCTCAATTTGATTCTACCAAACTATCACTTTGAGTTTTGGCAGAAAATGGAAGCACCGCTTTTCAGTGGAGAGGAAGAGTGGGAAGTATGAGAGGAGGTAATTATCTATCAGAAATATATTGTCAGTATAGAAAAATTATAACTTTCAATATGGTTACTTCGAAGAGCACCTGAAAAGTGGAGATCCTTGCAGTAGAGGATCCTACGTGGGAGACCACACCACATCTGTACCAGGTATACTCTATGCCCAGCATGGAAATAGGTGTTGCATGCATGGGCAGAAAAAAGAGAGGAGCAAATCCAAAAAGGAGAGAATAGTGTTTGGATAGAGATCTGAACCACATGATATCGGAATCTCAATCCCATGGGAGACAGTAATGTGGTTGAGAGTAAAAGAATGTGCCCCAAGGTGTAGAGTGGCTAGGGTGCGATGGACCATACACTGCAAGTCAACTGCATCCAAAACCCAGCCACCAGGAACTGACACCCCTATGGGGGTAGGATGAGGATTATACCATCAGCAAGTGAACTGCAATCCAAAACCCAGCCATCAGGTGGGGGTAGGAAAGACGATCATACCATCGTCACCAGTTCAGCAGACTGGAAAAGAGATATCATGACCAGTGATCTTGGAACAGGGCACATGTGAGCAAAGTGATAATAAATTACCGATCCAGGAGCCCAACATCCAGATGATACAAATAATTAAGATGTGCCCGTATTGTGCAACATCCAACTCAAAACCAATCAGAAAGGAACCATCCCAACACAGTGTTATCCTCAGTATATAGAAATCCTCGAGGAAGAACCACAGCAACCTGTATGTTCATCCATCATGACTCACAAGACCTTAGTAATGAACATAAGACAAATTGATTGAGGGAACAGAGACACCAGTAATACATGTGTGAGGACTTATGTTGACTGTCCCTGCTCTGGATCAAAAACCCAGCCACTGGGAACTGACATCAATGTGGGGTAGGATAAAGAATCCCAATCGAACGGGTGAATTGCAATTTTTATGGCTCACTCCAAAGCTACAACATCTTCTCAGTGATCAGGGAACAGATTGGATGACATCTCATCAACTACATCAGCACAACACCGCCACCCTACTCTCAACTGAATGGATTCAATATTTTTTGCATCATATATCACTATCATATTCAGGAAAATACCTCCATGGTCCACCACCCCAGCAGCTTTGAACTGGAAAGTGGTAAGAACTCCCGTACTCAACTAGAAGAAAAAGGGGGAGAAAATGTCTCTGGAGTCTGGAGGAATGTCAACACTGGAGACAGTGCAATGGTTGACCACAAAAACAATATTTTGAAAAGTAGACCACTCTTGATTTATTCAATCTAAGAAATGGTAGGGATGGGCAATTATCCCCTTCTGTTTTATCCATTTAAATCCAGGGGTCAGTACAGTCCGGAACTGGCATATTAATGAAGCAGATATATTGTGAGGAAAAACATACAAGTGATCTTGTAGAAAACCCCATCTCAACAATGTGCATTTAGTGGCCAGGGAAGTTATAATTGTAAATTCATCATGGCCTTACAGCACAGATTTAACTAGTTTAAGTATACCTGGACAAGCTCCACTTGCCCCAAAGCAGAATCCTTAAAAAAAAAGAAGCATTATATTCAAAAAGGTAACTTACCCAGTCACAGTCTCATCAAAGGGTCAAGGATGGCGACAGGTGGAAGACGGTATCCCAACAAGGAATAAACAGCTACATGAAGCAGATAATGGGAGATAATGAGGTGTAGTCCCAATGCTCAATGAAAGTAGTACCTCCAATGTACAATGGGGATGAAATGCAGGTAAAAGGTAAGGTGCCTGATCAGATGAAAACACCAGGAATTATGAGAAAAAGGAGACAAGGAAGAAAAAACAAATGAATCAAAAGCTGAATCCAACTGGTGAAGGATGAAGGAAAAAGTTATGAACAGAGGAGTGGTACCAGGGAATGAAACTGTGGGAAAAGGAACCAATAGAAAGAAGCTCTGAAGGCAAATAAGCAACCAAGAGCACGTACGGGACAAAGAAGGTCATTCGGATCCAACCAGGAATAAAGGTGGGAGATGGAAGGAAATGAAAACAATGAAAAGGAAGAACCTGCCACATGAGTCACCAAAGTGTAGGTAAGGAAAAATCAATTCAGAACAAAAAGAACATATCAAGCTTAAGCAGCTGAGAAAACAAGATCTGTGCTAGCCAGAAAGAAGCAATCAGAAAGACATGAAACAGAGTGGCATGGATGAACAAAATCACCCAGGGAAGATGACAGATGGGATGATAAAATAAACTGGTCCCAATCCTGTTTAATGCATAGAGAGTCAGGCCGAATGGCTGAGGAACAGGAGACAAAAAAGGAGGTAACCGAAGAACAAGGCAAACATATCCCATTGAGGAGTACCCCACTGGATTCAGACCCACCAGAAATTTTTGAGGATCGAGAGACCATTCTGTGGGATAAAATGTGTTGGTATTGAAAGGTGATCCACAATGAGGTTGAATACATCCATAACATGACAAGCGAGGAGACGTACATCAAGTGTGTGGGCCCAAAAAGAGAGAGATTCCAAGGTCGACCACAAAGGGAACTAAAACAGGTGCCCCCCTTGTGAGTGATTTAAGTCACCACCATGATTAGTCAAATCCTGACAAGAGGAAGAAAAAGAACCAAAGCATGTTGGACTGCTGGAAATTCCAGGGCATAAACATGGTAAGACCTTTTGGCCATATACCATTGTCCTGAAACCTCATGCTGATCGACCCATGTCCCCCAGCCTTGGAAGTAAGCATCAGGGAAGAGAAATAAATCTGGATGAGGGGGATGAAGTGGTCTTAACCATGTGGGGACTTTATTCAACCACCAACACATATTGTTGAAGAGGGAAGGAGGAAAGTTATTAGGAGAATCCAAAGGAATCTTATCAAGATTCCGTGAGTCATGCAGCATCCCCTGAAGACATCTCATATGTGCCAGACCCAAAGGGATAAGTGCTTCCACATAAATCACATCCCCCAACATGATAGAACCTTGCTAGCAGTAAGATAGTTAACAGTAATGGCGTGGATAACTGAAAGCTCAATCAAAAGCAATCGAAGAGGAGAAGTATGGGCCTGACAGAGTTGGGTGTTGAAAAAGAAACACCCAAAAGACAAGAATGTTAGTTAGATAATGGGAGACTTCTCCAATTGGAAAATCCAACCACCCAAGCTGAGTGGGTAAGAAGCAGATGAGTATCATGTGACAACTTCAGTATGGAATGAGTTAACAGAAGCCAAATGACCAAGATGTGGTTTAAGTACAATCCTCCATCATGCTGAAGTCAGGTAAAACTCACCATCCGACGTAAGACTGAAAAGTCTGAAACAAGATTGAATGATAAGGCATGAAACTAGTACTCAACCCTATGGTGAACAAACCTAAGATAGCATCACGAGGGATGAAAAATAGAAATGTGGGTATAAAAATATGAAACGTCTACCTTGACCATCCTCAGGCCTGGAGAAATGGTCCACCAGAGTGTGATAAACAACAACACAGAACTCCAATCAGCATTGAGAATACATGACTAATGGAAGAACCCTTAGAGGTAGGACAGGTAAATGACGGGAAAGTGTTTAGACATGGAACATAAACAAAGAATTCAATAGATCAGCATTACACAACAAGCAACTAAAAA